CAATTGGAATTTTATTGGCTATTTACAGTGCACAAAAGTATCGAGGTCACATTGCGAACAATTAGGCCATCAGGTTGAACTCAACGAGTGAAGTGGATTTCTAATTCACAACAAGAAAGAAAGTTCTGTGATGAGGAAATTGAGTTATGATAGCGAGACCATTGATGAATGAAATGGTGTGAGCCCAAAGTCAATCGAAATGGGACTTGAGGCCGATGGATAGGCGTTGTGAGGATTACGGACCCATTTGCTTGTACTAAGCCTACTCGTTCAACTGTCAAGATATGATGGTGATGGTGGTGGCGGTGATGATGGGATGACGGGATGAATAAGAAGAAGAAAGTGAATGAATGGAGTTGCAGCGTAATTGATGGCTTTCAACTGACTTTCAAGCCTAGACTTGATTTGGAAGATCCGGAAATGGATTACGAGGTAGAGGAGCGTGAAGAGATTAAATTAGAAGAGATGGAGATAAAGAAGATTAAGGAGAACAATAACTTTGTAGATGAGGGAGTAGAAAGTGAATTTCTTTATGGTTTTGGGTGGAATAGGTGAAAATACTGATGAATATGGAGGTATTAGTTAGCAAAAAGGAATAGAGATATTTGCCAAATTACAAAGGGACAAAAATGTTAGCGAATGCATTACCACTGATATAACGGTAGGGATATATGGGACTAGAACCTCACAAAGTAGGTAGCTGTTTCGGAGTCGGTGGTAAGCAGTTTAATTTATAAACATATTGTTTCTTTCTTGAGTCTTTCCTGTTGTTTTTGAGGTTATCCAGGAAGTTAAAAGTGCGTCGGCCATCACTTTGATTGTTGATATTTGAGATGAAGTTGTCGAAGGAAGTCCGTTTAGGTTGTAAGATGGCTTGTCTTAGGACAGCTGATTGCCGTCTCCAGGCTTGTACTTCTTCCGTCCTTCCAGTCTGATGAGCAGTGTTGCGAAGGGCGTCCCACTTTCTTTTCACTTCCACAAGGTGATCAGACCAAAACACTCGATAGTGTTTAGTCTTGCCTCTGGGAATAGTTTTCTTTGCACATCTGATCATAATATTCGTGATAGCAGTGCAAAGTTTGTCAGGAAGTTGGTTGAATTTGAGTGGACTTGTGTGAAGTCCATTCTCTAAATGGTTTGTGAATCTAGGCCAGTCAGTCTTCTTGAAGTTCCACAATAGCTTAGTTGACACTTTCCTTGTCATGCTTTTGCCGCCGATGGTAATACTAGCAATGACTGGTTTGTGACCAGAACCAGGATCGTCAATTATTTTGCGGCGTGTATGCTCGCTGATGTCGCTTGAAGCTAGGAGTAAGTCAGGAGTTGTTCTGGTTCCATTGTAGTGCAAATATGTATCAGGATGTATCAGGATCCTCATTGCTATAAATAAGTTCCTGAGGGTTGCTGGTTAGCAAGTTTTCGATTTCCTTTCCAGCAGTGTTTGTATTCTTATGGCCCCATCTGGTGGAATGGGCGTTGAACTCGCCTAGTACTACAGTTTTGTGTGAAATGTTCAGAAAATCAAATTTTGGACTATTCGGGGGAGGATTATAAACTGCCTATATCTTGAAGTTGTTTTGACATTTCCAAACATTTAATCTGATTATTTCACATATGTCTTGTGTCGAGCCCATACTCTTGATTAGATCGTACTGTGATGTAAGGTCTTCTTTAACTCCAGTCAGAATCCTGCTTGTAATTTGCCGGTACTTAGGTAGATTGTACAGGGTGTAACCTGGCAATTGGTAGTACTTCAGTTTGTCATCCAAAAGGTTTGCTTCCATAATTGTGAAAATGTCTACATCATAGGTTTGTAGCATTTTCTGGACTTGGATCTTTTTGTCCTGTGATATCCCTCCAGCATTCCACTGGAGGATCTGTAGACGTTGTGATTCGCCCTGATGAGGGCGATTTCTCTTATAGCCTTGTTTCAAGCNCACTCTGCTTTTCAATTGAATTATCAAAGATGCAATTTCCATCTGAAATTCGACAAATTGATCACGACCACCTCTCTAAATATGCGGATGGGTTCAATGTGATGCGACAAGAAATGGCACTTATCGATTTGTCAATACTCGTAAGTGCATATTCACGTCAAAGTGTCAACTTTTCTCATTCTAGACCAAAGGCGGCAATGCTATTCCTGCCCACAAACTTGTCCTTTGTGCACAATTCCCAGCAATTAAGAACAGTATCTTACTGAGCAAACATTCCAACCACTCGAATTGGAGTCGTTTTCCAAATGAGTAGGTCATTGTCCTAACAACATTACCAACTCATTAGCATTGTTATGGCAGTCGTGGACTTCGCCTACACTGGCGAAATAATGATAAATGTTGAGAATGTTCTGGGGCTATATCTGCTGGCTCACATTCTTGGCTGCCAAAAGCTGATTGACTGGTCAACGGATTTCATCAAGACAAGGTTCGTTTAGTCTAACTAAAATATACAAAATTTGTGCGTGTGTGAGCGTCAGTGGAACAGTCGCTAATGTAGACTTCTTGATTGTCAGACATTTTAAAATTAGTAACTATATGTGAGTTTTAGTGAAGTGAGTTGCCAATAGTAAAAAGATAGACTTAATTAAAATGGACAATAAAATACTAGTTCTTTTGGAAGAGATGCAAGAATATATCTTCCTTCATCTAACGTCCAACGTTTCTGGCACTACCACTCATGCACAAAACGTAATTGGCTTGTAGACTTGATCGACTTAATTTGATGGAGGTTTGGTTGGCAGGCAATGTCACTTCAAACGCTCATCTCATTGGCGCCTGCATACCAAGAGTAGCATGTGATTTTGAGAGATTAGCCTCCAATCAGCCCTTCCTCCAACACGTGGGAGTCGACCAAATTCAACTCTTACTGCAAAGTCCTTGGATTTGTGATGGTAGCGAAACAGTGAAATTGAAGGCACTCTGCACATGGTTGCGTGTCTCGACCGTGAATGCCGAACTCTCTACACGCGAAAGGCACTTCAAGCAACTGCTGGAGTTGATCAACATGAATAAATTGTCGAAAGAGCGTGTAATTGAAGCCTCAGTGGGTGGATTAGATTTCAATTTGTCTGAAAATGCAAGGTACTGTCGCATTTTCATTATTGAATATTTGGTCATTAAGGAGAGTATTTCTGGACAAATTTATGAAGTTGAATGATTCTGCATTGGAAAGGTCTGTTCATGTTTTCCTATAACACATAATATGAAGTACATACTCTACTGTGTGTCATTTCCATTGTAGAAAGAAATCATTAATCTGTGTTTATATGCGCGAAGTCAATTCAATTAGTGGTTACCTGAAGTCTGTTCCCGAACTAAGTGGAGGAAGAAATTTTGCTTTCCTACTGTTATGTCATGTCTACGGCTGCATAGTTTATTTAGATGGTTGAAGCTAACTTCAATTGCTTACTCCCAATTACTCTATTTCATTCATTATAGGTAGCGTTTATACTCTGAGTTGTATCGCCAGCTTATCAATAGTGGAAAGAATCAATCCACAAAATGGTGAAGTGACTGCTCTTGATCAAATGATCGAAGTGAGATATGATCATTCGGCAGTAGCTCGTGATCATGCAATTCTTATTTTTGGTGGATATAATTCGCAAAGTGGCAAAATTTTAGACTCTTGTGAGGAATTCCTACCTGCAACAGACACGTAAGCATTTTATTTTCAACTTATATGCATTTCGATATTTTTTGTCTGAAGTGTTGGTGGACTTTTCTGAATTGTAAATATACATCCTGCATTTACCAGAGTGCGTCTCCTTTCGTTACACCTCAAGAGTTCTGAAACAACCTTACTCATTTGCACAGCGTCATTGGTAGTTAGACATTGGTGTAAGTTGGGCATTGCTCAGGTCTTGAAGAAATTAATGCACTTATTTTATTCATTATACTGTGGATTTTGATAAAAGTTTGCACCTACAAATGATAATCGAAGACATTTCAAATATTGGATGGCAAGTCGTTTGATCATTCAGTTTGACAAGATTTGGGAAGTTGTGTACGTCTTCATATACATATACAGATGATTGACTTTATCTGGTTTCAAGCTCAATTACACGAATTGCCGATAGCGAAACACTCAATATCACTCACAGGAATCGAGGCAACAAATATTACTCGAATTTTTCATGCTTTCTACATTTTAAGGTGGAGGAAACTGCCCCCAATGCCAACGCCTAGGGGTGCCACGGGAGCAGCACATATACCCGGTGTTGGTGACATAGTTGTTGGTGGGTATACAGGAACAACACATGAAGTCAACATTGCAGAAATCTTTTTGACAACATCATCGCCACTAGGGCATGCAGGCAGTTGGTGTGAAATCACACCCATGCTTCATTCGAGGTTTCGACCATCAGCAGAATTTTTCAATGGAAAAGTATATGTCGCTGGCAATTTGACTTCTGTGGAGATGTTGTCCTTATTTCCTGAAGGACCTTCTCAGTGGACCGAAGTGATTAATACCACTTTTCAGCCAAGATCGATCATCTCTTTTAATGGAAGTCTTCTGTTTGGCTGTGGGTCAAGTTTACTTATTACAGTCTTGTTTCGGAAATAAATGGGTGTATTTTCTTGGGTTAGAAATTGACATGTGTCTACAACGGGATTAACGTCTCACAAATCGGAAAATGTTTAATTTGATAATATGAGTTCATAACTTCAATTTTTTAAATTACTGGAATGAGTCTAGTAATGTCTTGACAACCGGAGTAATAAAAGTACAGTTTGCATACGATTTCTTCATAAAACTTTATACAATTTAATATTCCTAATTCAAAACCGTGTAACATACCTTAAACTGCACAAATCAATTTGCTTAAAGTGTCAATTCAAATTGAAATTTGTCTCTTTCCTGATTTTACCGTGTCCTTTGTTGGAGGCTCTCCAGATCACTTTTACTTTTGCATTGACAACTCTTGAGGACTGGAATGAAAAATGAGTAGATTTTTTACTGGGAAGATTCATTCGCATTCCTCACCGATTGTGTTGGATGATTTAGCCTATAAGCCTCAGATAAACAATCTTGAATTGCAACTTAATAGATACACTCTCCAATATATTGGAGAGATTCATTTGCTATCAGGGTGATAGCAGTGTGATGATGCACACGCCACACTTTTTCCAACTAAACTACATAACATACAGTAAGTTCATATCAGTGTTGCTTTGAGTACAGTGATCACTTAGTTAAATTGAGTGGTTAAGCAAAGATCCTTTACTAAAAGGCAATTACTGATAATTGAACTTTGTCTGCGCATTTTAGAAAAAACAGCATTTACGTGACTCCACTAATTGTCAGTAATTTGAATGCAATAGTCAAATCTGATAATATTTTCTCTTAACTGCAGCTTGCGATGGAAAAATATATGAGTTGCAATTCAACGAAGACAACAAGGTAAGCTTTATGTCATTGAAACTCAATGAATGTACTAATTGCTAATCCGGACATATGCACTGTTAATTTAGAACTCCTCAGGAGCAGAGTGTTCTTGGAAGTTGATTTCTGATTTGGGTGGAATGGAAATACAAAAATTCCTGAAGGTAACTGATCTCCCCTGATGCGTTTCCTTTCCTCCAATCTACAGCTGCTACTGTCTCGCTAGCGAACCGACGTTAAAAAGTGACTGCAAAATGTTAAAAATGTATACATATTTCCTTATGAATAAATTGAACAATAAAACAAATTTAGATAGTATAAATACTCTTCTTATTTTACTGAAATAAAATTTTGTTTAAGAAACAGGAAGATTGCTATGAAGGCAAGAATTAAGCAACATAAAAAAAACAATTATTTTTATTATTTAAATTGAAAAATTAAATATGATTTATAACCAGATAGTGCAGAGAAGGAAACTCGTGCGCAATTGAAAATTTATCTGTTCAGAGATACCACGTCACATCACAAATGATGGCTGTTTCGTGCGATACGCCTGTTTTCTCTCAAGCTTTGAAGTAGCTTGGCTAGGTCTGGTAGTTTATTCCAACCCAGGTGAAACTGTCAATGAGATTTCTACGTATTGTCACGACTTATTGTTGAAGTAATACGCTACATATTCTGGATTAAAAAATCGATCTAAGAGTGGGTGGAAGAAAAAAATAATCGAAATTGAATTAATTAAATTGACAAATTTGGGTGGTGTGATCGCGTTCAGAGAGACCGTGTCAGCTAATCAGCCTTCTACATTCACTCAAGTTGCAGTGAGAATAATTTACAATCAACAATTCTCCAGTCAAACGCTCTGTTGACGTAAGCTTGGCACTTGACAAATATATCATCCTAGTGTGGGAATGACGTTAAATGTTTGGTCAAACAAGTTCATCAACTCAACGAATGATAATACTACTCGCATTAGTTTCAATAGTGCCTCAATATCAATTCAGGAGGAGAAATAGACGAGACAATGATCAAAATGTGTTTTTAAAATGAGCGCTTGTCCATTTACTTTTTCCCCAATCAAAAGTATAAAAACATATAATTATGAAAATTTTTAGTTCACTTAGAAGTATAAAAATAATGTATTCGACTAAAAATTGAGGTTTAAATTCCATTTTTTCACTAAAATCTGTACATAGATTTCAACATGTTTGAAAATGACAAAACGTGTGGTTCCTTCTCCACATTCCCTAAGTATAAATCCTCCTCAATTTATTAATTGTATTAAAAAATAAATAATTGATTTTCCTTCAGAATATTTCTCAACTCCATCATAATTGTCCCATTTTAAAAACAGCACTTTATTTCATTTTGATCCCTTTAATTTTTATTTTTAAACTTATCCACAAGAAAATGGATGTTATTATATTTCCCAGGCATTTTCACGATAGTTCGTTTAAGCGAGTTATGAGATATTAAAAAATGTTGATCCGACTATGGAAAATGAGGTAGTGAAGATGGCTCACTTTCAGAAGTTGCATGCGGTGGGTGTAATCGAATTCAGAAATCAATTTCCAAAACAAATGCTGCCTTGAGGAGTTCTAAAATAACAGTACATAGAGCTTGAATAATATTTTGTTCCTTTCATGCGGTTTCAACGCCACAAAGCTTACCACGTGGTCTTCGTTGAAGAGCAACTCATAGATCCCCCTCACCAATTGCTATAATTCAGATTTCATTACTACTTTCTTTCAATAAACCTTGAGTAGAGTCTGATGAACGCTGTTATTCTAAAGCATGTTACCTCAATCCAGTTATTTGCCCTTACATCTTGGGTACGAAAAATTGATTAACCAACCAATTTTTCAAATTGATCAATATGCTCAAAGCAACAGTGGTAGAATCCCACTGAAAAATATGTTAACATTAAAGTTTTACAGGTCAAATCGAGACAAAATATCTTTACTCATTTAAACATCAACAACTTGACGTTATCGTTCCTGTCCCATTCACTGATTTTCATACGATTATCAGTTGGAAATGTTGGATTAACTGATCACGCTATTACTAACTATACTACCCCTTAGGCAGGACATCTCGTTCACATGCTCATTGTGCTGTCTAAGTCAGCCCTTTCCAAGAGATAGCTTGGATTTTCCAAATTTTGAAGAGTAAACCGATTGAATCAGCTCTATTGTGTCAATTTGAACAATGACAAAACCTTTAGATTCACTTTTGGCCAAGTTCAACATAAGTAGGTGATTTTTCATTCACAGACGATTCTGCATATTCATTGGAACTTATGCAAGAAAACTCGAATCAATCTGGATGAAGATATCATTACTTTAATTTAGAACTCTCCATAACTAAGACACGATTTGTATAAAAGTTCCAACAATTCTATAGACTACTCAAGTCCTCTTGGATGTAAGTGTCTTACGTTCAAACTCCACTAAGGCGTAGACACTCCCTTTTAAGGGGATATTCTGGTCTAGTAATAAAAAAACGATTTCCTTTCTTTAATATTTTCGTAGTTTAACCATTTAAGAATATGTCTACGAGAGGATTTTCCAAAATTGAAATGATTTTCGGAGAAATAAGTATTTTGCTGAGCAGGCATCCAAACCGGTTGGGCTCCAACTTATCGCACAAAGGACATAATGGGATCTCCGACTACCTGAATCTATATTTCTTTGTTGACCCTTTTGTTCCTTTATATCTGTATGAAAATACTACTGAAAAGTCTCAACAAACGACATTTCTTGTGAATACTTCCCTGTTGAAGCCTTTTGTCATGAGGTACTGATATGGTGGCAATAAATCTATTGGGTTGGCAACTAAGTCATTGTCGTTTTTGTTGACAGATTCACTCTATCAGTTTTGTTAACGTGGCCAGAGCATCTAACCTATATTTTTTAACTGTATGGGCTTCTAGGTTAATTAGTAAAAAATTTCTTTCTGTATGGGCTTCTAGGTTAATTAGTAAAAAATGTTGTTTTGTTTAGTTCTTTAGTTTTGTTTTTATCTTAATATTAAAATGAAAGAACAGGACGTGCACTTCCGACACATTTTATTGTATTACTTCCGAAAAGGCAAGAACGCGTCGCAAGCACAAAAAGACTGCAGCCACTGATATTAGGGTGAAACAGCGTCGATCTTTCCTCGGTGTCATCTAGACGTTTTCACTCATCCAACACTTCGTATGTATTCTGCAACAACCTACACGAATTAGAACGTTGTCACGGTTCTCTTCAGGGCCATCCCACTTCAGACTGTTTCTTCCATTTCCATCCATTCACCACTTGGCACTACTCTGCACTGTGTTTCAGTGCACGCTACTGCCACTTTTGATGGAGATCAATGTGGCATAAGTTGACACCTGTCATTTCCACGTGTGCAGTGGAACTAGTGCATTCAAAGGTGGCAACTGGTTAACATTGTCTATCTACTTGCAAGCTTAAACTACGCAATATTGATCGGATTTGGTTTGGGAGAGGGAGGGAGGGAGGGAGGGATNGTAGTTTGGACATCACGAATGTCAGCATGATAGTAGAAATTCTTGAATATACCAAGGGAGTATCTGAGTGAGTTGATAATGTTGCATTGCCAAGGTTGGTGTTTGCCACGAATATTTTCCCGTGAAATCTAGGGATTCAGGTAAAGCGAAAATTGCGTATCACTCCATTAATATATATATACATCTGGAGAGATTCCATTTCACTTAGCTTAATCGCTATCCATGCAGCTGCCTTACAGCTCCTCTTAAATTTAATCTGTAGCGGATTGCTACCTTGGTAAAGCCTGACTGACTCAGAAATCTCTATGGCAGATTCTCCAACATCTAGCTAGACGCCCAGAACAAGCTAAGCCATAACCCAGCTATAAAGGAAACAAACGTGTAGCACTGAGAACGTTTATTCAGTACGGATATCGCGGATAAAAGTGTACACGCAGGGAGCTACTCATGATCAGGATGGGGGATTAGGTTAAACAGAGGTTAATGATTTGTCACTGTTTGTACGATTGCTGCACACAGAGTTGTACGGCCGCACCTCCCAATCCTGATGTGCAGACATGCGATGACGCACGATAACGTGTCTCACAATCTGCCAAAATTCCCATTCGGAACAAATTTGAATATTTTGATCTGCTCTTGTTTCTGTTATCACGTTGTTGTAGTAGAAAGTTCCAAACATGAAAATGAAGATGTCCACTGTAAAGAGAGATGAGGAAATC